GGCTGGATGTCGCATGTAATGACCACCCCTTTGAGGGTGGGCATGTGCTCGAAGGAAAAAAATCAATCATGACTAAGGCCGAGAGGCTGGATGATCGCATGTAACGACCACACCTTTGACGGTGGGCATGTGCTCGAAGACAAAAAGTCCATCACGACTAAAGCCGAGAGGCTGGATGGTTGCATGTAACGACCACCCCTTTGAGGGTGGGCATGTGCTTGAAGACAAAAAATTCATCACGACTAAGGCCAAGAGGCTGGATGGTCGCACGTAACGACCACCCCTTTGAGGGTGGACATGTGCTTGAAGACAAAAAATCCATCATGATTAAGGCCGAGAGGCTGGATGGTCGCATGTAACGACCACCCCTTTGCGGGTGGACATGCGCTCGAAGACAAAAAATCTATCATGATTAATGCCGAGAGGCTGGATGGTCGCATGTAACGACCACCCCTTTGCGGGTGGACATGCGCTCGAAGACAAAAAATCTATCATGATTAATGCCGAGGGGTTGGATGGTCACATGTAACGACCACCCCTTTGAGGGTGGACATGTGCTCGAAGACAAAAAATCCATCATGATTAAGGCCGAGAGGCTGGATGGTCGCATGTAACGACCACCCCTTCGAGGGTGGACATGTGCTCGAAGACAAAAATCCATCATGGTTAAGGCCGAGAGGCTGGATGGTCGCATAAAACGACCAACCCTTTGAGGGTGGACATGTGTTCAGTGGCATTTAAGTCAGTGGGATCAATTTAACTTATCAAAATTAGTTAAGGAGATAAGAGGAGTGACTTTAGTTGATTTGCATGACATCGACACATAGCGACAGCGCAAGATTGTCAATAGTAAAAGCAACGTACAAGGTAACACATCAACCGACACATCAACAACCAATAACAAGGAAATTTTTGCGCGCTTCAACAACAATATTAATTCTACATACTTCAATGAAAATCATAATAAAAAAGAAAGGGTACAGAGTTCAGCAAAAATCGAAATTACAAAGACTTCACGAGACAGCATTATTAGGATCTTGTAGAATCTAATCGGCATTGGCGTCGTAGTCATTATGAGCTTGTTCTGGCAGTGGCTCGAGCTGCTGCTACGCTGGCTCAACCGGCTGGCTCGAGCTAGAGGTCGATCCAGTCGGATGACGGGTTCGGGCGAGCGAGAGGAGGCGTATAACCGTCATGCAGCTTGAAGCTACGCTTTAGTAGGTCGTCGCTATCCACGACAAGCTCGAGGAGGCCCGACCACCAGTCATGGTCGGCAGGCAGATCGAGGGCACTCTGGTAGTCGGTGGGAACCTTGGGCATAGCATCCCAAATAGCTTCCATGTTGAATTCCTCGAAGCTGTCTTCCGCGATTTGGGCTCCCGCATGCTGCATGATAGCTCCAAAGCAGTCGGTGCCATACGCCTGCACCTCCTTCAGATATTGGGGTGACTGCTTGAAGGCAGTCACCACTTGCTCGCGGTACCCTTGAAGAAAGCGCTGGCCCGCGGTGGTGTGAAAAACCATCCTCTTCGCTCGAAGTGCAGCCTTATCGATTAGGGGCTTAGCCCTTTGCTCGAACGCGATGTTCTCAGGCGCTCAAGCCACCTTTTCTTCCTCGAGCGCAACCTCGAGGGTTTTCTGCTTAGCCCCCTCAGCCTCCAAAGCAGCTTTGAGAGCCTCTTTCTCCGCCCGCTTAGCTGCGAGCGCCTCCTCAAAAGACTTGAGGGCCCCCTCAAGCGTCTCCTTCTCGGAGATGAGGACCCTAACCTGGGCGGCCACCTCCTTTAGTTTCTACTGCAAGGCGTGCCCTTTGACAACGAGATCGGCCACTCGATCACTGAGGACGAGAGACCCTCGCTCGATTGCAGGAATGGAGCGGCTCGAGCTGGCTAGCATCTGCTCGATCAAGGGCGCGAGTTCGACCACTCCCTATAAGTACATATAAACGAAGAATTAGAGCACAAATAATAAAAGCAGGTAAGATAAAGCAGATATTCACTAAGTTATAAGGGATTACCTGAGCTAGCCATCGGGCAATACGATCGCCCCGGTCATGTAGGGTACGACCGTCATTTTACCAATCGGTAGGAAGGTTGATGGGGGGGGGAGAACATCCTTTAGGAAGGACGAGAACCCTAGGCCGTCGAGAGAAGTGATTGGGACGGCGGTCTCCTCGAGGCGACGGCGCTTGCTAGCTCCCTCATTCCCCTCGACAGGGGGACGCTTGAGTTGACTCTCCTCGAGTAGTCTCCTCAGGGGAAGCAGGTATGTGGATGATAGGAGTGGCTGGATCGCGGGGAAAAGGTTCCGGTTGAGGAGAGGCTTGCTGCTCGAGCTGTTCAGGTTGTTTGGGTTGTCGGTCGACTTGAAGGTCGGTCGAGGACGGCTCCTCGACGACCGGCCCGGCCATGGATGGAGGACGAAGATCAACCTCCATGGCAGAAGTCATTTTCCCCGGTGGTGGTGAAGCCGAGCGGGTGGACTGAGAAGCGGTCGAGTCAGCGGACTTCGAGCTCGATCCCTCGGTCGCTTTCTTCTTCGACGCAACGGGTTTGCTATTCCATACTGCAATCCGTTGGTCGAAGAGCGCCTTTGTCAAAGGTGTCGAATACTCGCGTGGGAGCTCCTTAAGCCACGGAGTTGGCGCCCAAGGGAAAGCCCAAACCATCCGGAATCCCTGATCTCTGACACAGGCTGTTGTCGACAAAAGCGAATTTGTCTTTCCATTTGGGAACGTTTGATAGGGTGTCGGAAATAAAATGAACGTCGTTGCGGCTCTTGAGGTAAAGCCCCTGGGTATGTTTCAAGGGTATGTAGCAATAATGGAAAAAATCTAGGTCGAGCCAACCTAGACAAATGTGGCAGAGAATGATAAAGACGGTGATAAAACGGATAGCATTAGGGGGGAGCTGGATCAAGGGAAGATGGAACCATTTACAGAGATCGACCATGTCCTGGCTTAAGGGAAAACGGACACTGAGTTTAAATTGAGTCTCAAAGAAAGCGTAGCAATTTTGTGGAGGGTTATCATAGGTATCCCGAGGGCCAGGGGATACAAAGACCCATTTGGTTGGAGGGCCGACCTCATCTGTATTCAACCAGCCGGCTATAAGAGCACGGGAAGAAGCCTTTGCAGAGGAGAAGATTTTGGTCAATTTGCCCTTCTTCTTGGTAGACTTAGAAGAGAAAGAGATAATGCGCTGAGAAAGAGGGACATGGTCCGCATTCTGATCACGAGACGCTTCAGCCGCATCGAGAGCCTCCTCAATTGCGTCAGAAGCTCCGAAGGCTGGCCGACGGCGACGAGTGAGGGGAATATGGTCGAGAGTATCATCATCTGGTTCATCGATCAGACGACGAGGTTGAGGCGGAGGACAAGAGGTGGTATGATCGGAAGGACGGAAAGTGTTGAGGGGAACAGGACAGTAAATTTCCTCCACCGAGCGAGAGGGAGAGTGAGGAACAGGCCGACGAATTTGAGATGGCGACGTAGCGGTCGCATCTTCGCCGGAATGATGACTTTGCGCGTTAGAAGCAGCGGAATCTGAAAAACAAAAGAAAGGAGGAGAAAGAAAGAGATTAGGGTTTCGGAAGATGGAAAAAGGGGTTTTTTTCTTCACAGATGAAAGGAGGAGATTTTGAAAGAGGAGAACTAATAGAGAAGGCAGGAAATTGAAAAAATAAAAAAATAAGAACACAAAATTAGAGCACAGGGAACTTACTCATGGTCGCAGTAGAAGACGGTTGCCAGAGAATGTTTGATGAAGGCGCCGAGAGCAAGGGAGCACGATTTGCAAAGGAAGAAGTTAAGACGCAAGGGAATTCGAGATTGCAAAAGTGAGAAAAAGTCGAAAAATTTGCTAAGTACGGTATTTATACAGAGGCATAAGATGAAGGGTCGGTGGAAATAGTCGTTAGGTGAGAGCGAGATCCGATGGCTGTGAGAATTAAAGGGGCACAGATAGCGAAGCGGCGCAGATCGCGAGGAGAAATGATGATTAAAGGTACTGGATTAAAAGGACGCGTGGCAGACGGAAATCGCGCTGACAATAATGGGAAATAAAAGGTGGGCAAAATGCATCATAAAGCCGGTCAAATGGTCGAGAAGTGGGAGCAACGTTGGTCGGATGATCGAAGGAGGAGATAAGACCCAACCAGGAGGTCGAGGAGTCAACAGATCGAAGAGACAAGACACCAATTCACTCTTGGATCGAGTCATTCAGACTCGACCAGAGTGGGGGGGGACTAGATGATGTGGGATATTATATGCTTAAAGAATAGACCGGTTTACCACATTGGCCGGGCGAGCTCGATGTTGGGAAAAATGTATTGGTCGAGCGATAATCGACCAAAAGGGAGATGATCGAGCAGGATGGCATGAAGTGGTCGATGATCGACCTAGCGAAGGGGGACTTGGTCAGATCGAGCACTCGACATGTGAAGGGTAATCGAGAGCGTGGCTTGAACGTGAGAAAGCGCGTGGGCTTAGTCTGAAGATCCTAACGGAATGTGCAGAGAATAATCTCCCTCTGCTCAGAGGGATACGTGGCGAGACTACATTGGTGCAGAGCAATAGTGGCGATAACCACCTCTGACACCTCTGACACACGTATACTGTGTGTGTACGGACAGGCAGCGCGGGTAGGACAGCTCACCAAATCCGGGCAGCTCCTAGGGTAGGTATCTCACTCCTATATATATAGAAGTGAGCTCTTTCTTGTGACTTACGATTTATCCATATTCTTACTTTGGAGAATTGAGTAAAACACATACTTACTTAAGCATTGGAGGCTCTTCACCGGAAAACCCCCCTGGTGTGAGAGTTCTTTGCAGGTACGCGGCGTTCTACCGGTGAGGAGTAGGAAGACGAGCCGATTTCAAGCCGATCAGAGTGTTTTGCGTTACCAGGAATATTGCGGCCATTTGGCTGCCATGATGTACATTTCTCAGTATTTCTATAATATTTGATGT